AAGGTGTGCAAGCTTGTAAAATCCTTATATGGATTGAAACAAGCACCTAAACAATGGCATGAAAAATTTGACAAAGTGATGTTATCAAATGGTTTTAAAATTAATGAGTGTGATAAATGTATTTATGTGAAAAACACTCAAAATAGATATGTCATTGTGTGTCTATATGTGGATAATATGCTAATAATGGGTAGTAATGATGTTATAATCAAAACTACTAAAAAAATGTTGACAAAAAATTTTGATATGAAAGATTTAAGCATAGCTGATGTCATACTAGGAATCAAGATTTCTAAAACATTAGATGGTCTAGTATTATCTCAATCTCACTATATTGAGAAAATATTAGAAAAGTTTAATAAGGAAGAAAGTAGTCTTGTAAAGACTCCCGTTGATGTAAATCTTCATTTATCGAAAACTGCTGGTCCTAGCATATCACAACTTGAGTATTCTCGCATTATAGGAAGCTTAATGTATTTGATGAATTGCACACGACCAGACATAGCATACTCAGTTAATAAATTGAGTAGATATACAAGTAATCCAGGAAAGAACCATTGGACTACAATAAATATGGTTCTAAGGTATTTAAAATATACCATAGGTTATAGATTACATTATTCTAGATATCCAGCAGTACTTGAAGGACACAGTGATGCTAATTGGATATCAGATACGAATGATTCTATATCCACAAGTGGCTATGTCTTTACTATTGGAGGAGGTGGCATATCTTGGAAATCTTCAAAACAAACTTGTATTGCCAGATCCACTATGGAATCTAAATTTATTGCTTTGGATAAAGCTGGTGAAGAAGCTGAGTGGCTTCGTAATTTCTTAGAAGATATTCCAAATTGGCCTAAACCTGTGCCTGCTATATGTATACATTGCGATAGTCAATCAGCAATTGGAAGGGCACAAAATAATATGTATAACGGTAAGTCTCGACATATACGTCGACGACATAATACCGTTAGACAATTGCTCTCAAGTGGGATAATCTCAATAGATTATATCAGGTCAAAAGATAATTTAGCCGATCCGTTTACAAAAGGTTTGACAAGAGAGCATGTGTATAGTTCATCGAGGGGAATGGGATTAAAGCCGAAAGTTAACGTTTCATCTTAATGGAAACCCAACCTAGTTGACTAGAGATCCCAAGATCTAGGTTCAAAGGGATAACAGAAATTCTGAATGGCTCACCAGAAGCACTGGGAACCCATTTCTATGATAAGACAGTACTACCTACAGCGATGAGTAAGATAAGCTATGCTTTTAATGACTCTTATATCTTGAAAATTCAACTGGGGTATAGTAGGATACTTTTAATAAGAAGTCACCTATATGAGTGTGAAGTGGGGCTGCTTCTATGAGAACTTCTAAGGCTAAGTTTTCTAGAGCACTCATGAAATACTAGGAGTTGTTCAGGGCTATATGAACACAAACGTGAGAACCGACTTTGTGTGGGAAGGAATTGCTTCATTTGCAATTTACGTAAATTTCCATTTATGTGGGGGATTGTTGGAAACAGGGGCATTTAAAATATAAACTTTGGAAGAGATTTTGAATAGATACTACTAAGAATTTTTTACGGATCTATAGACGAACACATTCCTCTCTGTAAGGAGATGAACGTGATATATTTACTTTCTCAAATTCGTTTTCGGGTGAATGAGAAATTAGCTCCAAAGTAAGGTGTTTGATAAAGCCTAAATGGGTTTATAAAATGTGGGAAATGTTTGTCCCACATCGAAAAATTATTAAAACCAATTTAAGTTTAAATAAGCTTAGTATGGGATTTGGGTTTGGCCCAAGGGCACCCAAGTTTTTAAGAGGGGGAGGACCGAGGCAAGCTGGGGTCCCAACCAACTACCACACACGCGCGCTCCGCCGATCCGGTTCGGGCTTGGGCTGGGGCGGGGCGGGGCAGGGCTTGGTTATAAAATACGTTTAATTTTTTATTAAACGAAATTGGGCTTGTGTGATTGGATTTTAATTTTATTTTTGCTGGGCTTATTAAGATGGCTAAATTGGGCTTGTTTGCTGGGCTTCATAATGGATTAAAACAGTTTTGGTATTTAATTTAAATTAAAACCATAAAACAGTTTTTTTATGAACCATTATGAACCAATGGTTGCACCCTTTTGCAAAATAAACCACCTGTAGTTTTTCCTGAACCATTGTAAACCAATGGTTGCACCCATTCGGAAAAGGCACCATCTAACCTATAAATAACCCTCCTTGGGTTCATTCCAAATCACACAAAAATTTAGAGACTTCTTTTTTTCTTCTGAATTTTCTTCTTCCTCCTTCTCTCTTTAGTCTGTGGGTTCGAGCCTTAGTACTTGGGTTCGAGCCTTAGTCAGTCACTCCGAGTCCGAGTTCGAGTCAGAGAGTACTACACTGAGTAAGTTCGCCTATTCCTTGGTTTGCAGTGCTACTACCGAATGAAGATAAGTCGTTGTATCTTGAGAGATAGACGTCACTGAGTCCGTTAGCACCATAGTAGGGCAAATCTGTCTTAAGGACATATAATCAAATTCTAGCCTCGACTTTTAATTAGGTTCATTTATTTATAGTTTTATTTGATTATATTAAACTATATATTATAAGAAATTATATAATTATAGATTATTATTTTATATTTACAGATAATATTTAAATAAATAATACTATAGTATATAGTATAATTAGACCGAAGTTTTGGACAACAGATAATGTACTCGTCAACACACTTACATCATACATTTTTTTTTAAGTTGCTTTCCTTGGGGCAACATCCATGAAATTTTAGATATTAATCGTCGTTATAGTCATAATACCCTGCCAAATTTTATTTAAATCACAATTCCATAATTAAATTACAAAGCCACGCATGAAACACCAAAAGATTTATTATATATAATATACGAAGAAAATTTAACATTCATCGTCTAATATTGATATAATAACAATAGTTGAGCAAATTATTGATTGTTTCAAATAAGTAAAATAAAAGAACTCAATAAGCAACTTTATAGACAATTTGTCCTTCTTTTTGCTGTTGCATTGGTAATTTCAATAACTTTCTTTGCAATAATTCCATCAAAAAATCGTTATGACTTGATGCTCATAAAATTTTAGATACAAATTGTCGAATTATTTTAATTATTGAATATAAAAAAATAAAAAATATATTTTTATATTAAATTTATTAATTTTTTGGTCTCATTGGGTACAATTTTTTTTCCTTTTATTTTTATTTTTTTGGAGAAAGAAGTTACTATATAACTTACTTTGAGAGTTATTACAACCTAAAAAACAGAAAAACATAAGAGAAAAGGGAGGAGAGAGAAATGAACCAAAAAAAAAAAAAAAAAGGAGAGAAAATGGATGAGACAGAAATGGGGGGAAGAGGGAGAATAGAAGGAGAGAGAAAAAGAAGAAGAGAGAGACATGGAAACAAAAAAATATTAATATTAATAATATTAAAACATTTACAATTTTTTCATTTTAAGCGTTACAATTTTTTTTTTCTTTTTTATGACATAAAAAGAGAGGAGAAAAAAAAAAAAAATTGTTTGAGCGGGTTAAAATGGGTACCAACTTTTAACCCACCATTAATCCTTAAATTGAATGAATACCTATTTTTATTCATTATTAACATACTCATTTAAATTTGGGTATTCAAATGATTTAATTTTAGTGAATAGACTTGAACAGTTTAATAAGTTTGTGCTTAAATTGTTACCCCTAGTTAATATATAACTTTCCGACTAAAGCTAGAATTAATTACAAACAAATAATGCATGGGGAGATAAAGATATAAATTGAACCGGGCACTTGTGTCTCACTCTTCAAAGGAAGGAGAAAAACAACATTATTTATTTTTGCTGGTTGAGGCTAAAAGTAGACTAAGATAATGAAACGTAAAACTTTTGGGACGTGGCGTAGGACCTTGGTCCTTGGGCGGTCACGACAAGTATATTGGGAAATTTTTTACATAATAAATTAGGAGGACGGATACTCGGATAAGGATACACTAACTTAAAAAGTCTGGACCTACTATCAACTAGGCTACTCAAAAACGACCCTTCGATAGCTTATCCATGCATACGAAACCTCACTTCTTTATTTGCTACATGTCCCACAATTTGTTCACTTCTCACTCAATTACTATTAGTATCAGTCTCAACAATAACTCTCTTGTACGAAAGAAAAAAACAATAACTCCCTTGTACATCAGGTCATGTTGCTTCGACTTTAGCCCATTGCAGGGGTCATAATACGGCATGGGCCATTTTTTGGATGCAAACACCCTTCCATTAAGGTTCATTTTGTCTCAAAACATGGAATTTTTACATAAACAAATTGCAAATTGAAATTGGAAGGGTCCCTCGACCACAACTAGCAATTTCATTTTACTATTCTAGTTTTATCTTACCATAACTCTAGTCTTTAGTCACAGTTGTAGCTTGATTATAGCTTAGCCCTAGTTTAACTTGGCCATAACCCTAGCCTATCTCAACTTGAATTTCATATGCAATTCCATCTTCGAATTATCTAATTGTAACGGAGATGCACATTAGTAGAATGAGTTTGAATTTGTTTGTATTCTTTTTTACCATTTTCATGTAAATTTGTATGTTTGTACTTTGTAGTCCTCGTTCCAGAGGGAATGGTCATCTTTACTTTCAAACATCATTATCGATTGCATCAAGCATACAAATAAAACTTGATTATCTAAGAATTGATTTAGACTCTAACATGCCCCGAGCACTAACTGGGAAGCACGAATAAAGCTCCAAAACACTCTTGCTCCATGACTGTTACAAGCTCAAATACCACTTGCCTAGTTCTTTTACGACCCTACAAATGGTATATATCTAATTCTTTGAGTTACAAAAAATATTTCCATATTTATTTAGTGCAGGTGAAAGTGAAACAAAGGATTATATGCACTCCATGATATATCGTCAATTAAGGTCATAGGTGAGTTCTGTATTTTTATTTTTATTTTATTTTTTTTATTTTTGTAGGCTTAAATATCATTTTGCCCAATTATTTTAGTACTCTTTCTCAGCTTGTTTAGTTCTCTTGTCTCATCATATATACACACATATATATATATATATTTTATTTTTATTTATTTATTTTAACAATATACACACAGATTGTCTTAATGGAAAATGATAAAAGCCACTACTGTGTGTCTAATTAGGCGTACTTGATGAACACAGAGGTTCCCACACGCACACATACCCACAGATGTTTTAGCATGGAGAAACATATAAGCGAGTGGAAGGAAGCATCTTCTACAGAGATCTCTTGTTCTCATGAGGTTCAGAATAATTGGATCCAGTATGTATCTCATTTACACTCTATCCTACATCTTCTATACCTTCAATTTGATTATATACTCTATACTACGTCTTCTATACCTTCAATCTGATTATATATATGTATATACATGTGTTATATTTATTGTACAATTGTTTTGGGTTTCAATTAATTTAGGGCTCAGGACTCGCTCAAGGGAAGATTAGTTGCTGAAGATGATTTCACATGGCAATTACCCAATTCAGAAAAACAGACACCCACAGCAGAGGAGGAAGAAGAAGAAGAAGAATGTGGAGCACTGAAATATGTGGGTGGGGTTGATATGAGCTTCTCAAAGGATGACCAATCCATTGCATGTGCTACCCTTGTTGTTTTGGACCTCCAAACTCTCAATGTTGTCTATGATGATTACTCTGTTGTCAGGCTCCAAGTCCCATATGTTCCTGGCTTTCTTGCCTTCAGAGAGGTTAATTCACAAACCCTTTTTCTCCTTTTGTTCCAAATACCAATTTTAGGGATTTTCTTCATACCCAACATTTGCAGAGTTTTCATTTTTCTTTTTATTAGTAATTGTTTATGTACGCATATGCACATGTGTATGTGTGTTTGTGTATTTGTATTTGATTCCCTCATATTGCAATACGTACTTGCTTAGACTTGGAAACCAGAAAATGTGGCTCTGGACTCGGAGTATACCTATTACGCAAGAATTGAATCATTTTGTAGATGGTATAATTCATACAAGTGACCGGAGATACATTTGTTTGATATATATTGTTTGTTTTTCTTTATTTTAGGCTCCTGTTCTTCTAGAGCTATTAGAGAAAATGAAGAGCAGTTCTCATCCCTTTTACCCTCAGGTGCTTGCTTTCTTTTGCTAAATTTAGTTTACTTGTCTTCTATATGCTTACAAATTGAATCCGATTCTTGTTGCCAAACTGTAATATGTGTAAATTAAGATTGGCACTCAATTTTATTCGATAATGTTTTTATTTAGCACTGAAGTTTGTTCAAAATGTACTTAATTATTAAAATTTTCAACCTGCTTTCACTACTTATTTTTCTAGTATATCAAATTCATGTCATTGGTGCTCTAATACTGGTTTTCTTACAAGTGTTAGCAGTTGTTGATGGTTGATGGAAATGGGTTGCTTCATCCTCGAGGCAAGTATTTCAACGTGGACATGAATATCTGCTTGATGCTCTTTGAAATAGTGCTTATTGCATTCTTTAATTGCAATGAGAACAAATTTTCATTTATAACCGTCTTACTTGGTTAACGAAAGGAAGTAGCATATTGTATACAAGACTAGGTTCTCAACTATGTTTTTTAGATGCATTCCTGTTCAGTTAATGAAGAAAAGAGCTCTTCTTTTGAATACGAAAATTTGGTCACGGAGATAGAATTTGTTTATTGCTTTGTATGAATTTACAATGAAAAAACTCTTGTTTGTTATAAGATCACTTAAGGAAATTTCAGTGATAAATTTGGAGTCGAAGAAAAAAATATTATATGGACAACATAGAGAATTGATAGTCATACAAATAATAAAAAATAAAAAATAAAAAAACAGCAATTACTTGTTTGTCATAACTCTTTTTATGTGCAAAATTTGGTCACATCATATGTACATATAACATGACAAGCATTTTTTTTTTTTTTTTTGTAAAGGAATACTTAGACTTATACAAATTTTAAATTTTTTAATATCTATTAAACATATATATATCGTTGCTATATCCTTGTCATATCTGTTCCTGCTTTTTAAGAATTTGTCATATTCTCGTGTATGTGTTGTGTCAGTCATATCTGTATCCTGAATATGTTATTTCATAGTTTCCGATTCTTACTCTGTTTAATCAAGAAGCTATGGAGAAGATGCGTGTGGAACTTTTACAAGTTAAAATTAGTTTTCGATAAAACACTATATTGAATCATCCTTTTGTATGGTGCTGAACTTGGGGACTGTTGTAATTATACTTGACGATGAATTGGAATTACAGTTTAATATATACTGCTAGTGCTTACTGATTCATTGCTTCTATATGGTACATGATTTTGTTACCTGAATTTTCTCCATTAGAGAAATTTATAATTATCCAGTTTCTTGTTTAGGCTTTGGTTTGGCTTGTCATCTGGGCGTTCTGGCTGATCTTCCTACCATTGGGATAGGAAAGAATGTGAGTTTTGATTTTTCCCTGTAACTTCTTTCATATTGAAGATAAATCCTTAATATATTATCTCTCTTCTTTGAATAGTACTATGAATTCTAGTGATGTGGTTCGATATCCCTTTGGCTGTGAATTGTTTGTTGATATGACCATGTTACCATGAATTTAGTTAAAAAATACTTTTTTAAAAAAATATATTGAAAATAGCACGATAAAGGTTTAACTTTGATATATGACAGTTGCATCATGTGGATGGTCTTACCCAATCTAGAGTGAGACAGCTCCTTGAACCAGAAGGAAAGCTCGTGGAAGATATTATTACTCTAAGTGGTGACTCTAGGCAGACTTTGGGAGCAGTAAGTGATAGAATATGAATTATTGCTCTCCTTTAGACTATAAATAAAATCTCAACACACTTATTATGAGCTAGAAAATTTTCATAAGACAAACTGCCCCAGGTTTCCTGATTGTATTTTAATCTAAAATATTTCCAGACGTAGCGCATTTTTCACTCTTAATATATTAAATGATAAAGAATTATTGTGTGATGTCTTCTGTTGTTCAGAAGAAGTATATGTAAATGACTATATCTGCCTCTCAAGGCCTTGCCGTTGTTCTCCTAATCTGGGCAAACATGCCATCAGTTTGTGAGGCCCAGTGCATTGACTATGCCATCAGTATGTTATGATGACAATTTGATATTATCACGTTAATGATGTTTCTGGCAATTAAATTTAAAAAAATAGGTCCAGTTTATTTGGAATATGGACATAATAGAGGGAACCACACGATTGTATGAATATGATGTCATTTTTTGTCGTCTTTCTAGCTTTCCACCAGATATTCCTTCATTCTTGCAGTCATACTATCAACTTAATACTGATAAACTGTGAATTCAACACCAGATGGTCATACGGTCATAGTATAGTTAATGATTTATTGATTTCAATCACCCAATATCTCCCACATTTATAGTACAACGTATAAGCTGTGACTCCATGCTTTTGCTTTCTAATGCCAAAGGACATCTGGTTAGTATATTCATGCCAACTTGTCTTGAGTTTCAAAGTAAAGCAATGTGGTTCTTAATCAAATTTTACGCAGGCAATGCGATCGACTCAGGGCTCGTTGAAGCCAATATTTATTTCAGTTGGTCACCGAATATCTCTTACTTCCGCTGTCAAGATTGCTAAAATGACTTGCAAATACCGTGTGCCAGAGCCAATCCGGCAGGTAATATCCTATACTTTTGTAAGCACTAAAAATTGTTATTTTGTGGTAATATTTAACATAGACCCTTCTACACTTGGTTCATCATTATTTAACCCAAAAGTGTGGCTCAAAAAAGGCAAGGAGAGTTCTCAGTTTGTTATTAAGCCTACATTTTCCCCCCTTATGTAACATTTGAAATTGACATGCTATAGATATCTCCAAAAGAATATGTATGTTCGTTTTGATCACTGTCATTGATCCTTCATTACTGGTCAAAGAATATGTGATAGGTAGGGATGACAAGATCTGAACCAGTGACATAACTTTCGACATTAGTCGAGGCTGCTGGGACGAATGGACAGGATGTAGACCTATCTTTTGAAATTATTTGTACAAGTGTTTTCTCTTATTTTCAATCTTTCTTTTTTTCCCTAGTTGATACCCAAGGAATTGTTTGCACCCAAGAGGAGTCGTCTCATTTTCAAGTCTATATTCACACATTTGACAATGAGAACTCCTACCGGTGAACTCAAGAATTCCCCTAGTTTATTCTTTTTATTATATCAAAGATATTATAATTTTTAACCCCATTTTATACTTTCGATAATTATTGTAGGCTGATATAAGATCAAGAGACTACCTTCGGAAGCATCAATGGGTTTGTTAATACAATGTAACTGCACTTACTAGGTTGGTTGCCTTTTTTTTTGGTTCTTATCATTTCATTCTTTTTGTATTGATTTATTTTATAGAAAATAAAATATAAAATAAAAAAATAAATCACATATTTTTTACTTCTCATTTTCTTGTCACTAATAGACTAATGACTCTAACATTTTTGACATTTCATTTGCAGCTTGCAATACATGCAAAATAAGGTGATATGCCCATTTTTTTATGGTAGAAATGCCAGCACATCAATGGAACTTGGTAGCTCTACTTCTTTTGCACAATTTTAAAACAAAAAAGAGTTTCATGCATATTAGGTTCTAGTGGCAAGATTTTGTGTATCAATCATGATATCATGATATCAACAAGATTGTTAACTTTATTTTAAACATATAGATATATGTTTTGCTCCAGTGAATGCATTCTTAGAAAAGCATAATATTACGCACATAGTTCATCACTTTTTTTAATGCTTTCACTTATTGAGGTTGGTCCTATGTGTCATCTTTCTCCAAGAACTATACAGCTCGACTAAACCTTCAATGCTCTGCTGTCTTGGAATGCTTCTAATCTCAATGGTAGGAATCTGGTTGCTGTCAGCAACAAACTCACTTGAGCTGCTGCCATCTTCTGCATATATTCGGAAAGAAACAGGAGGTTTCATAAGAATGAGTTCAAGGATGCTATCACAATCCAGATGATCAAGTGTTGAGATCCAGACTGCTCTCAATTTCCAACCTAAATCACTCTCGACCCAACAATGGATGCAAAGAGTCACACCTCGGACTGCTACAAAAAACACCATCGGATTTCAAAGTAGCACTATCTAATTCAAAATTTTCACCCAATTGTTCCTGAATGAGTTTTGAGACAGGACGGATGCAGTTTAGTGAAGCTGTTTTTATTTATAGTTTTGATGGTGCAGTTTTGCTACTACTGTCGAGTTCTGTTTCTTTGTTCTCTTGTTGCTGTTTTGTTCAGGCTGTGGTCTTTGCATTAGCTCTTTTGTTTTGCTCTTTGATTGTGCATAAAGGGGGGTATGCCCCCCTCTGGAGTCCTGTACATTTGTTTATGGTTCTATACAATCTGCTTACTTGCCAAAATACAAAAAAAGGCATGCAATTAATTGACATTTCTTGTATGATTTAAAGGAGGCACTAAAGTCGATCGCATAGACTTGCTCAATTCTATACCACCAAATATAAGAGTCCATTTCAGTTTGTTGTGGCTAGTTTTTTATTTGAGTGGGACCCTTTTTGGACTTGCTCAAAGCAGCATCTGCTTTTGACATTGAATAGGTTCACGAAGTAATCTGCTTAACAACCATGCAAGGAGATTGCAAAAATAAAATCACACGGAGTATATATTTAAATTTTATATCAAGCACCAAAAGTCACAGAAACTATCAATAACGACATAAAGATGAGCATGCTAAAATGTTTATAGAGAAGCCCAATCCTACCCGTCACACCTGAACTCACACCTGAACTAAATGACTGGATCATGATTTTAAATTTGCAATTTCCAGTTGATGGATCGCTAGTAGTGACAACCGAAAGGTTGGGAAACATGCAGGCAGTATCAAGTTGGTTGTTCTGCTGATAGTAACTGTTGAATGCATAGGAAATGTTGCCGCGGGCATCTAGATTTGCGCATGATGTCCCATAACCGAGACTGGTGCAGTCAGCATTGGCGCAAGCATAGCTCACACTGAGGGCCACTTGTGGGTCATCCAGGCTTGCTGATGGCAACATCACACACCATTTTTGGGCCAGATAAGCAACGTTGCTTGCTGCTACCATACCTCCCGAGTTTGTTGTCCCTAGGCTGAGATTGTATTTGGGCTGCCCATCGTAGCCAAATATCCCCCAGTGGCGTTCAAAGTTTCCTGGTTGAATGCTCTTGGCATCCTCATCAATGAGGCTAAATAAGTAGGCATCGACTTGGCCAGGTCTCATTGGGGTCCCTTTACCAGACGAAATGTGTGACATGAAGCCTTGGTTGAACCTTTGAGCATAAACCGGATTCGCATTTTGATCTCCATCAGTAGGCCATCCAATTTCTCCAACAATTATGGACAAGTTTCCATATCCATTAGTTTGCAAGGCCCACACAAGCGTATCGTAGTTTGCATCAAACACATTGTCATAGATTCTTCCATTGTCATTGATGCCTGGCGAATAGCCATCAAAGAAGGCAAAGTCAACAGGAAAGCTGGGGTCATTGTATAGGCTTATGAAAGGATATATGTTCACAGTGAAAGGAGCTCCATTATCACTCAAGAACTTAACAATCTCCACCATGAGGTCATGAATATCTGGTCGGAAGTCGCCAGTAGAAGGAAGGATTGTTGAACTCTGATATACATCAGCATTGAGGGGTACAGTGACTTTCACCTGATTGCCCAGACCAGCCTTTACAAGGGCTGACTGAATATTTTGAAGAGCAGGAAAAGTTGTCGTAAGGAAGGTTCCATTGTATGCTGACAGAAATGGTTCGTTCCCAACGGCAACATACCTTCAAAAACAAAATCATTAGTTTAACAGAAGAACAAAATCTTGTATAACACACAAAGAAACTCATGTTATGCCATACAGAAACAAGATTCCTTAATTTCTTAATACTTTTAGAATGAAGGAAAAAAGAGTCGGGTAAATTATAATAAGCTCCCGTCACTACCAAGTTTGCAGTTGACAGTTTGCCAACCACAAATGTTATGATTCTCCAAACTGAAAAAATTAACACAAAATCATTGACAAGTAAGAATTGATAATCCACAAAAGTCAGGATTAATTCATATATGATCAGCAGTTTAGTCTGGATTAATTCACTCAGATAAAGATAGCAAACTTCAGAAATTAGAAATTGATAATGAGCTGCTATGATAACTACAAAATTAGCACTACTTGCAAGAATGTTCAGAATTACATGAAAATTTTCTCCAGGAACTCCATTGCATTGGAATATGTAGTGAGTTTTGATTGAATTCAGGTACATTATCCCACAGAACATGATTTTATAAATTATTTTTTTAAAAAAAAAGAAAAGAAAGATAAGTGGATTCTGACATGCCATGAGAAAGTTCTATACTATCAAAATAATAATAATTACTTAATGGCTACATTTTTAAAACGAAGAGAAAAGAACTATGATCAAAATAGTCCATAAAAAGATGGGAATTCCACTTTGCAGTAATCAGATTCTCTCCCTCACACACATAACGCCAACACACATCAATCCATCTACCTACTTATCCATCCATTTCTCTACAAAAATATATATCCATCTATCCAACCATTTTTCTATATAAAGATACACACACATGTGCATCCAAACACATTTATAAAATGGATGTATCTATACAGATGTATGTGTGCCTTTTTGGATGTCTTTACAGGCCTGAAATTAGTGAAACCTCCCTTGAACAAGAATTTCCTACTCCAGTTCCAACTTTTGCTTGTGCTTGTAAGCAGCACATTCCTTTGCAACATGGCATGTGGAAAACTAGCCATCAAACAAACACGAATAAAAGAGAGAGATGATGACACCAGCAAATAAGATGAATGTTGAATTTCCAGAGCTTCCAGATTGAAATAGTCTGTATGCTAATCAAAATGGGAGTCCATTTTAATTAAGGGTATGGGTTACTATGATAATTTTGAAGGCATGGTTCAAAGATTCGTTGATCAGATATAATGGAAGCGTTACCAGGAAAAAGTATTGGTGTTAAAATCAAATTCAAGGTAAACGATGAATAGATAAAGGAATGTCTCTTTTCACCAATATCTTTTTTCATAGTAAATTTAGGAAAAATTTGAAGAATACAACTATAAAAAGAATCTAGGGAAAATAGCATTCAGGTGAAAATTTGAGATATGGGTTCAGAGAATCTAGTATAATTTGGAAAAGTAGGACCAAATAAGCTAACCATATAAAGTTAGCCGTTGGCTAAAATTTAGTGAAGGTAAGTATGGGATAAATACTAATATCCTTTGCATAATTGACTGAAGTAACAAAGAACCATTATAGTTAAACTTAAGAAACCACTTCAATGCCAGGCTTACGCCAAAAAATGGATGGGAGAACGACAAACCTTAGATTATGTAATGTTGGGAGAGTCTCTCTACCTAGGAAAGAAAGAGAGCACTGGAACTCTTTTCTGATTCCAGGAAGATAATGCCAACTAATCTTGTACAGATTAGTTATACATTCCCAAATGCATCTTCAAAGATGTTGTACGAATGTTTCCATATAAACAAGAATTGTACCCCAAACTTTGTACTTATTTTCCATGAAACCAAATCAGAAGCTGAAATGGTGCAATATCAAAGCTTTTCTCTCTCTCTCTCTCTCTCTGTGTCTGCTGTCATTAAAACCAGAAAAACTTACAGCTATATAAATAATACATTTAGAAAGTCCTACACCAACTAGTAAAAAAAAAAAGTCCTACGCAGAGCAGATAAATAGTAAAAGTCAGTTTGCCAATCAGACTTGATATCCAAAATACCAGCGCCATTAATCACCCAAAATCTTTTCATGTGTAAATAACCAGAATGTAGTTCCATGATGACAAGTTATCTTTTCCCAAAAGGAAATAAAAACTTAATGCAAATTTTTTTATAGTAGTAGGTAAGTTGGCACCTTTATGAAGCAAATGCTAGCTTAACATCAAAGTCATCTATCAAAAAAAATTCTACAAATTTAAGAAGAGGAAAATAAACAGAGTATAAATGATATCAAGAATTTGACATTTCAAGTTTTTGGCCAATTTGTTCCCCATACAAAGTCTCCAATATTTGGGGTATCCAGGTAAACTTCTGGGTATTGTTTCAATTTCAACAAGGACAGAATGTAACGGTAGAGTTGACATGTAAACCTTCTATAATGTAGCAGATACTTGAGTTGACGAAAGGTGTGTGATTGACATGGGATGAAATAGAAATACACAGCGACAACAGAATTCAAATTTCCCTGTAAACCTAGAAGGGAAAGGTAAACTCTCTCACAGAACACTTGGATAACACTCAAAAACAGAATGGTCATGTTCTCCACAGAGACCAGAGCTTTAACTCAAATTCTGAGTGCCCTTCTCAAATCTTGGCAAAGTATCTGTATTCTTATGATGATTATGACTTAGGTATGGGAGAAAAAGACAATTTTGCTGGATCACAGTGCTTTAGAAGCCGTCCTTTTTGCATTCCCATCAACTTAGTCAACATGGATATCTTATTTTAAAACACTTTCAATCACCACATTTTTTTGATAAAAGTGAAAAATATGGCTTTAAAATTTGGTGCTTGACTGTACTTTGGATATTTCTGACCATTACGATCAATGTTTCCTCGGAACAATGTCCTAGTAAATATCTTCGCTGACTAATCTGTTCTCAGATCTAGATATTGCGTTGCAGTGATCAAGGTCCATCATTTAGCACATCTAAGCAGCGTGTTTGAGAGATCTTGCCGTAGCTCCCCATCCTATATTTCACACAACCAATGTCTATTTTAAATTTAGGTTGGGATCCACAACAAGAGGCTCTGTGATGCGAAAGGTAGATTTCTTCAATAATTTGTGCTTAGCAGTTTCATGTTGGCTTTCTTCTTAGATCATTTTACCAGTATTTCAAGTAGCAAAATTTCAATTCACAAACACACCACAAGCTCCTAAGTAGATCCAAACGCCTATATGAATATCATTTAGACCACAAATTGGGCTAGAATATAACCCAAAGCATTATGCTTGTGTTATCATTATGATTTTAGTAATCTGCCGATCAGGGTCTATTCTAAACCACCCAACTTAACGTTTATCCATAAAAAATGATAATAAATTAAAAAAATGTCCTAGTTATAGCGTGACAAAAACCTTGAAGCAATACAACTACAAAGTGGAAACTCAGACAAAGACCATGGTATAGTTTACACAGATTCTTGTAGGAAAATCAACCAATACATATGAATTGTACTTCGTGCGATAAAAGTAACCAACCTTTGTAGTCTTATGCATTTCTGGTATTATTACATCCATGCCAAGTGTGGTGAGTCCCAGATAGTGTAACTTTAAATAGGGGTACTGACCGTTAAAAAAATTACTTTCAATTCAAATTCTTTTTTTTTTTTTTTTTTTTTTTCCATTAATATTTTTTTCGTTACTTAGTGGTGAGTCCCAGGCTAGTGACCATGGTATAGTTTACACAGATTCTTGTAGGAAAATCAACCAATACATATGAATTGTACTTCGTGCGATAAAATCATAAAAGTAACCAACTTTTGTAGTCTTATGCATTTCTGGTATTATTACATCCATGCCAAGTGTGGTGAGTCCCAGACTAGTGTAACTTTAAATAGGAGTACTGACCGTTAAAAAAATTACTTTCAATTCAAATTCTTTTTTTTTTTATTTTCTTCCATTAATATTTTTTTCGTTACTTAGTGGTGAGTCCCAGGCTAGTGTAACTTTAAACATGAAATTTGGCAATCTAACTTTCTACCTGTTGTAGGATCTATATCTCGGATATGTTTTTTTGATATTCCTATCATCTAATAGAATGCTATTGCATTGTGTGGTTGCTTGAGAACTACGGAATTTCCTGTTTACTACATTTGGAATTGTCTGCTATTCCAAGGAGCGTGAGTGAGTTGTTTGCTTGTTGGAGTAGGAGATGTGTATTGAGAATTAGGAAGGCTTGGGATGCCCCCCTCATAGTGTTGTGGAGCATATGGCAGAAAAGGAATATGCCGTCTTTTAGGGTGTGGAACACTCTGCTCATAAATTGAGGCAGTGATGTTGAGCATGATTTTCTTTGGGCATTTGTAGTTCCATCTCTTTTCATTTTATTCTTTTGTAGAGTACCTGGATTGTATCTCCCTGTGATATTAGGAGGTTCTCTCCTATATGTTTCATGTGTACTTGGGATGTGCCCTATAGTGGATTATCTTTTGTGCCCATATAAAAAAAGATAAAATTGAGAAGGCTATGGTTGAAAAATACCCCACCCCCTCTCTTTTTCCATTTTACAATTCTCAATATAGAAAAACTTCGAGTATAGAGAGAAAAAAGATGAGAGGTGAACATAGTAAAGAAACAAAACATGTTCGGTTAAGAGGTCAACTTAAAGAAGTAAATAGAGTTTACTTTCTTAAAAATGTAAAATCAATCAAACTAGCATCTTAAATGACTTTGAAAATGAAGATGAGGTAACAACATTCCACAGAAATTCTTTTGAGCTTAGTGTTCTAAATACACTCTAATTGACAAACTGGTAGTATGGTCACCCATTGAGTGGCAATTGTACATCTAAATAAGTGTATAAAATAAAAAGTAATGAGATCCAACATAATAGAGCTATTAACTCCGACGCTACTCAAAACCAATGGTCTTATGCAAAGAATATTTAATTGCTTCTGCATAAACAAAAAATAATTATAATTTATATGCAGTAGCCTCAAAACCAAAAATTGTTCAAATTCAAGGACTATGTCAGCTGCAATTCAGTCTCTTAGGGATTTAAAAATAAATAATGCCAATTGGACCATAAGATGCTCCAGTCCACTAAGTACCTGATATGGATATTTTGCCTTCTATAGGTAGGAAAGGAGGAAGACTTTTCTTAAGGGAGTGCAGTCAGTCAACAATTGACTAACAACATTAATTTTTATTCTTATTTAATATACAAATCTCAGCCACATTGCAATACACCGTCATAATATCATTTTTTAAAACTATCAGTGAAAAGTACGGAAATTAAAACCCCAAACTGTAAAATTAATTTAATACAAGTAAAGAATTCAAATAATTGATCCCATAAAAGCACAAATATTTCCCAAACAACTGAGAAACTTAAATCAATTGAAACAAAAATCCAAGTGTTAAAAGAGTGAAGGTATAGTTTGTTAAATTTATTTCGACTTAATTTTAATCAGTTAGAACTTTTCTATCACTTTCTGATATTAAACATTGACCCACACTTTACTTCTCAAACTATTTCAGGGGTCACTTAAAGAAGGGCTAGCCCAGTGCACGATGCCTTTGTCATTTCGGGGGTCACTTATTATTAATTTAAACCTCTTTCACCCTTACCAAATAGACCCATCTTTTATAAATTCCACTGCAGCAACCATGTCTCTACATGCCCATGCTTGTGGGACTGAAAGAAGTGAGTTTTGAGATGCAGCAAATGAAACATAATTACATATCCGTATATATCTCATAATCTTAACTGCTGGTTTAGTGTCAATTGAGAATAGGACTTTTGATGGAAGTCATAAGATTCATGCATAATGACCGTGGATCTAGGAAACTATTTACCAGGGGAAATAAAGCTCTGGTGTGTCCTTTTCAAAATAGAGGAGGTCTTCACATGAAAGAAGGTAAAAGAACAAGAGTTCATGCAAGTGTTTATCAAACTTTTCATTTGAACTGGACGCGATGTATAAATTCTAGTGAAATGTGCAAGTTAATAGGAAAAAAAACCATAAAGAATCAGCTGGAGTGGTATCACCTCTGTGTAAGAGGTAGAGGTTTAAGTTCAAAATTCAACAAAGTAGGTACTTTTCTGTGTTGTCTACTTGTCTTACCTATAAAAGAAAGGGCTTTTGGTCAAAATGTCCAACATAGAACTTTCATCTCTTATCTTATATTTGTCTTCCTAAAGGGATACTCCGTATTCATTTCTGATTCCTGGGCTACGGTCTCCGGTCATACAGTTAGGCATCAAATTCTCCAGCCATTATGGATTTGCATGCATCTCTCGGTATTTTTCTTGTATGATAGAATACAGAAAGCTAATTGGCCAAGAAGGAGTTTGGGCAGCGCGGGTTGGGTATTAATTAATTTCATCGAGTAGCAATTACACACTTCTAACTAAGTACATGGAGCAAGAAGAAATGAGGTTCTTCTGCACATACAGCTACCAAATCCTAATATTACTCAAAGTACAAAATCCAATTCATCATCATTCACTTCACAACTAGCAAACCACAAACCATAGTGTTCAAATTTGTCAATGATTATATAAAGCTGCAATTCAGTTCCATGTTCAAATTGGACCATACAAGCATCATATATATATATATATATATATATATATATATATATATATATATATATACTTTGGAATAAAAATAGCAGCAGGTATGGATAAGAGATGGAGAAAGCAATCACCTTATGTTGACAGAGGAGACATGAGCAGAAACATTCTTTTCCACCCATTTCTGAGCAGCACCCACACTGTTGGCTAGTGTGTATAGCATGTCATTGGGTATCCCAACCATGACCTCTAATCCAGAATTACTAAGAGCATTCAAAGTGGTCGAATCGGCGTCGAATAGCTTAACCTTCTGAAACCCATTGTCCCTCAGAAGCTTCACCACAGTTGCAGGAGGCAGAAGGTGGGTATCTTGTGTTCCCCAGTTTGCTCCAATCCCATTCACTGAACCCACCACCATAAACACCAATACTGCAACCACCACTCCATAACTCAAACCCCAAAACCCCATAAACCCCATAAACCCCAACCTTTATCACAACTCCTAAAAAAACGCAATACTTTGAGATTGACTGTTAGGGTTTTAAGAGAATCAAAACCCAAAACAGAGTGCTTTTACAGTAGGGGTCTAATTCCAAAACAGCCTTCAAAATGAAGGGAATTTGAAAAATATAATCGAATATTACGGTAACAGGGAGCGAGAATTTCTAGATAGGAACATACCAAAAACAGATTACATGGAATTAACTAATAAAGGACCAAAAAAAAAAAAAGAAGAAGAAGAAGAAGAAGATGAAAATAGTGATCCTAAAAGCTGAAAACTTTGCCCACAAGAAAACAAATTGGACGGCGACAAAAAGTCATGAAAGAGAAAGTTTAATAAATAAAAAAGGTAACTTTGTTGAGCTGTGAAGCTATCTGGATATTGGTTTTTTTTACTCTCTGAACATGGGTTTTTTGGGGAAGAAGAAGATAAGAAGAAAAGTCACCGAAAACCAGTCATAAAAGAAAGCTACAGCTTTGATATATGCTTTGGGGTTATAGATTTGGGTTGAGAGAGATGTCTGATGAAATCTGAGATTTTGAATGATGGATGAAATTATCCACTTAATTAATCTTATTTTGGGTCTGAATCAGTAGGCCTATTAATATATTCTAAAGTCTAATCATCTAATATATGTATACTGTGTGTATATATATATAATATTACTAATATTTTTGTATGTGTTCTCAGGTATGTATGAAATGATATGATATTAAATTAAATCAGCCGTTTGCCTGTTTATTCTGGATGATGAGGACAAATGAACTGTCTGGCGTCTTTATATCATCAGTTTCGATTTTACCAGAAGACATGGCGATTGTGAGTAGTACTAACTTGTGTCTGATATATATGTATCCAAACAGACGCAGGCAACGGTCATTCAGTTACATTGTTTGTCTGCGTGTCTAATTTCTTTCCTGGACTTCCAATGTTTGTCTGCGCACGTGTCCACTTTCTTGCCTGATATTTTCTTTTTTCCAAAAAAAATATATATATATATATATTTGAATAGATTCATGTGCGTTACCTAAATACATAGTATTAATTATTGTAAAATTTTATTAGTTTCAATAATTATATGAAGATCAAGTTGTTTTAATTTTTTTTTTACTATCACATTTCTTGTTTATTATAAAATATTAGCGTTAAATATAAATACTTCCAACAGATTTAATGATCATTAATTTGTATTTGACGTAGAAATTTTTTTTTTCCTAGATACATTGATCTGGGAAGTCGCTAGCTCGATGTTTGGTATGGATGGTACGGGGCTGACAAACAGTGGACCCTATGTGAATGTTAGCAAAGGTAATCGCTGCACGTAGCATTCATATTGGGAATGAAAATGGGCCCATAGCTTGAAAAAATAAAAAGCAACTATGTATCTAGAAAATTGCAACAGCTACTTTTTTTCTGCTATTGCAGCCAATCATGAATGGCCAGCACCCTGCGATTCCATCTGATGGCATTACAGGACCCAAGAGCTAGCAAAATCATCACGATTCTGATGCCCTAAGGTACATCTAAGGTTTCAGAGTTTCACTTATTTATAAAAATGCCACTGTCAAGCACCTGGACTAATAATAATAATAATTATTATTATTATTATTTTAAAGATAAGAAGTGTTAAAAGTTATATTAATAAATATAGAAAGTCAAAGTTTGACACTTTAAAATTTATTAGAAACAATTATCACTAATTATATTACATTTAAAACCTCTTAAATCATCCATTCAAGTTGGGATTGCTTTAAACTTCTCTACATATTCAATTCAGACAATTTAATCTATTTAAGTCATCTGTTAGCTTGTGCAACTAGTTTGATTTAAGTTGCCTAGATAAAAAAAAATGTCTTTCGCGTTCCATAGGTGAAATATCTATACAAAATTAAATCCATTGTCACTGTGGGGACTAGTGCAAAACTTAATCAATCCTAAAACTCATTAAATCCACACTCAAATAAGCCTCAATTGTTTCGATTCAAACCTAAGATATCTCTTTAAAATAGTATTAGGTCTGTACTCAATGTGGCTTTACCCTTAATAAGATCAGTGGTGGAGTCAAAAATTTAAGAATTATTACATATAAATGGTATTAATGACTCATATTTACTATTTAATATAGTTAAAGTCTCATAATTTTGAAAAAATAAAGTTAACCAAAATACTGACGTGGATATCAAAAAACATTATTTATTCTCACTGAGGTATCATATTTAGGCACATAAATATCACTTTTTGTACACAGAGGTACCACTTTTATTCTGGGCATAGAAATATCACTTTTATTCACATAGATACCATTTTTTGCCTATCCGGTATCATTTTTTTGTGCAACACAAAAAGTGGTACCTAATGACAAAAAGTGATACATGCATGCACAAAAAGTGATACATATGTGCCTAAAAATGGTACTCAATTAACAGTGTTTTTCCATATCTTCATTTTTTTGAACTTATGAGATTTTGACTCCATCAAATAGTAAATATGGGTCAATAGTATCATTAATATGTAATAATCCCAAAAATTTATTCCAGTGGGAGTAATTTGGGCCTTCTCGGCCCAAGCCCGATACACGCATGCATGGATGAAATCTTCCTTTCAAAAAAAAAAATTAAATGGTAGATTAATTGTGTATTAGTAGAAAAATTAAGGATCGCTCTTGAATTTGGAGTTTAATAATAGTTTCTTTTAGAATATCATTGAGTTTCTTTTAGAACATCATTGAGTTTCTTTTTGAGAATTTCTTAAGTTTTCACTCCGAACATTTTTATAAATACTCAAATTTGTACATACAATAATAACTTAACATGAAAAAGTTCATTGAAGACCGTTGTTTTTACGCTTCATGCGAACTCTAACTCTCATTTTATATTGTGTGGCTCAAATTTTGCCACTTTTACACTCTTGCTCTCGCATCCGTTTCCAGTCCTGCTTAATGTTACTTAAGTTCCCACTGAACCACCACGTGGCTTTGCCACTGAATAAGATTCTCTAAAACATATGCACTAGGAATTGGATTCATTAATTCTTATAGAATTGGATTCATTCTTTCCAGAATTCACATTTTTCAAACATGGTATAAACTAGATGCTCACTCGATGTCAAATACTCAATTGACACTCATCCTTATTCTTAGTTTTAGAATATACTAGGGTATCATCTACAAATACCATCTCAAAACTGATCTAGGTAAGCTGGGCTCGAACACTCAGTTCATCAAATCTATGAAACTTGATGCTGCATTTTTTATGTAACTTGATTAATTTTACAATTTAGGTAGACATAAAGAAAAGCAAAAATGGATATAATTCTTACGACTCAATAAAAAAATGATGCGACTCTAATTTTAGAACACCGAATTCAGTATTTCCAAACATACGCAAGAGATCATCAACGGAGGATATACTTGTAGACACTCACCGAAGGGTTGGGACTCTATCACCAACCATAGGGCCACTAAATTTGTCCAGTGAAGGTGACATCAATAAAAAATTGTTACTTGAAATGCACATCATGAAGAAATATGACAATGGTGACCTTACATGGATATGCACTGAACAAATTACTAATTTAATATTACAAAAAAAATGGAGATGCATCCAACAAAGCTAGCATCTGAGTCACCATTCATCATATAATTGAAGATATCGATATTATTAAAGATACTTTTGTCCCTTCGAATATGGAGAAACACCACTCCTTTCTATTAAAGTAATTTATCTTTGCTTTTGTGAAATAAAATATCAAACATGTCCAACCATTCATGTTGGCCTTAACTTAGTTTGTAACCCAAGCCTTTTTTTTTTATTTAAAGGTGAAAGTGTGTATATATATATAGGCATCTTCCTAGTAAGGTCACCCTCATACTTGGATAGTCATTTAAATCAAACTATTCACATACATGGCCAAAAAGCATCCCACGCGTATCTCTATCTCATCAATGTTCTAATTCATGAAAATCTAAGAAGCATTGATACTTTTATTACCTAATTTGTATAGAATATTGACAAATATTTGGTACTTCTTATATGTATTCATAATTTTTAATTATGTTTTTTAATTTTTAACATGCATTCGATATTTCGACCATGTATTCAATAATTTTCAAATAGGGTTAAGTGTAAAAAAAAAATCATGTAATATAAGTTGTGTACAAAGAGTCCCTCTTTCTTAAAAATGTGCATTTTAGTTTATAAAATAAAATAAAATAGGAAAAAAGAAAAAGAAAAAAAAAAAGGTGCAAGTAAACCAATCTGATCACTTTTTGGTTAAAATTGACAAAAATAAACTTAAAAACCCTAATTTGCCCTTTTATCCCTATTATACCATTTTCTAAGGGACTATATCACAGCCATAACTACCATCCCCAACCCCACCACCACCACCATCCTCACCACCACTACCACTTGGTGCCCGATTACATCGGTGGTGTGCAATCATGGTCTAAGTTGGCACCTCCAACGATGATTGTGCCGGTAGTGGATTTGTTGATTGCCTATAAGTGAAGTCGGCGAGATTACAGAGTTTCGACAACCATGGTTTAGCAATTAGTTTAGGCTTATGGTTGCCGACAGTAAAGAAGATGGCGAAGGGAGTGCAGCAGGTTATGGTTGCCAATGGTGAAAGGTATCGGTAATTCTCAAATGCTTTGACCACGTAATGTCATAATGATGAAAATAGCCCTTAATATAAACTTGAGAAATTTTAGGTTTTATTTTTCTTTTTAATTTTTTTAAAATAGAACTTTAATTATTATTATTATTTTTAAATTACACATCGTTAAACTGATATTTTCATGACAAAAATACCCCTTAATTTAAATTTAAGAAAATTTAGATTTTCTATAAAATAATTTTATTTTAGGTTTTCTTTTTCAATTTAGATTTTCTATAAAATAATTTTATTTTAGGTTTTCTTTTTCTTTTTAATTTTGAAAAAAATAAAAATTTAAGAAAATCCTTCCAAAGTATTTTTATTTCCTTATAGATGCACCATTGATTTTTTTTTTTTTTTATATAAATAATTTTTAATAATGCTACTTCGATTGAGTTATTTGTCATTCTTTAAAAAATTATATTAAGAGACTTTTTCATTATTATAACATTACTTTGCAACAATTAAATATTTCAGAGGTTATGTCAAATTGAAAGTAGAGGGAGTTTTTATGCTAACATTTGAATTATTAAATAATGTTTAATATAAGCATTTCACTTGTTTTTAAATATGTTTCTTGAGGTGCATGTCCAACTAATTTTGTCTAGCTACTCGGACATATATTTTATACTCATGTTTAAGTATTATAGAGTTTAAAATTGATATATATATATATTCAACTGAAATTGGTACTTCACCTCCTTCCAAAGACTATATATATATAATATAGACAATGATATATAAAAAACAAGCCATGGGTACACTGTTGGGATTTGTGTGCCCTAGCATAGCAAATTCTTATTTGGATTGTAAAAGTCATGCTTCCTTATTAGAATATTATTATTAAGGCATTATACAATTGGTGAATGGAATGTATTATTTTTTCGATTCAATATGGAATTGATTGTGTCCACTTGATTACAATATATATTTATATATGTATGTAATAGCTATTGATACTAAGTTATAAATTAGTAATCATAAATGGTTCAAAATCAGTAATTATAGATGAACATTTAATTAATTAAGACCTAAACCGAGTCCATGATAGGTTGAAATATATTGCGAGAGCCGTCGTATGCAATTGCTCTCTATCACAGTCATGACTTTTGACTCTCAAGCATGAGAGAAGTATAGACTCTTTTATTAATTAATAATTACTTTGATTTATTTGGCGG